TTTAGAACAATGAAATAGATTAATTAAGCTGTTAGTATTTCCTTTGACTTCCTGGCCCGGTATGAAGCTGGCTTGATCAGGATGGACTAGTCCTTTCATCAAGGGGTGTATGTGTTGTGCCAGGAATTTGACAAAAAAGTTTAAAATCGATTTTAATAAGGGGTCTTTCCCAATGTTTGGAGCAGGTCTAATCATAAGGAGATCCTATACATTGGCCTAGGGCCCAGGGCTTAGAAAGGGGCCCCCAGAACTACACATTTGCTTTCTCCCTATGTGAGTAATAAAGGGGCATCCCAAACTGGTAACCTGCATAAGCAGAATATTACCCATGAATTTCATAACTTTCAGTGCAGTGTGGATTCAATTCTGGAAGTGAAATTGTTTGCATATCCACCTTTTTCTTCAGTAAAGAAAGAAGAGTTACCAGCATATGTCCCAGAGATGTTTTTTTTTTTTCTATTATTGGGATAACGGTAAATTGTCTTCTTTGCTGGTGAGCATGGAATAAAAGACGTCCTCATTCATAAGACGTTTACACTTTGTTTGAATATCAAGTATAGGCTCAGTACGTTTAGCTGTAAGCTGGTTCTATAAAAATGGGGAATGAGTGGATTTATGATTTATCTCGCGTTTCTGAATCTCTGATATGAGTTCCTGTACCTTTCGAGTATGTTTGTTTTTTAATATATGTTTGGTTCTTAGTTTGAACAGTTGTAGTGGAAATATCAGAGAGGTATAGTTTTCTAAGAAAAGGAGATCATTCAACCTCCAATGGATATCTGAACAGGGAAGTGTTGGTAAAGATATGGAAATAGACAAAAGAGTCAAGATTAATTATAGGGAAATATTCAGGTGAAAGTAAATGATGTTGGGGATTTTGGGTAAGAACAACATATCTGGAATTTATTTTGGAGACCAGGGAGTAAAAAGAGTCATCCCTCATAGAAGGATGTTTAAGCCTCCAACAGTCATAAACTTGGGTTTGACATAATAGAGAATTAAATTATTTTCACATAGATATAGAGTGAGTGGAGTGTTAGGCAGAACTATCCAAAGAGACATTTCAAGTCACATTACAATCACTCTCTAGTAAAACAATCCCTTCGCTAAATTGTTCTAACATGCATTAAATTTTACATAGCATTATCATCTGTTAGGCATGTAGATATCAAGAATAACCATATTATTAACAACCAAACCTTTAACTAAAAGGAATCTTCACTGAGTATCTCTAAAATGCTCCTGATAAGTAAAATGAAGGTGAGATAAAAGTAATATGACCACTCCCCATAATTGTGACACTGAAACATTACTAAAATAGCTGGTTAGGTATTTTGAGTTTTTGAGAGTCCGTCAAAATTGTGGACTCTTCTTGCAATATGTCAGTGCTCATCGCATCACCTCACATTTTTGCTAAAAAAGCAGACCCCCAATTTATCAAGAATCCTTGGAAGAGCTCCCTTAGATATTAAGACATTAAGGATATCTTTCAAGACCATATTGTGGGAGCCCATATAGCCCTCTGTCCTGTCTTGAGGTGAGCCGTCTTGAGAAAACACAGGCACCATGATTCCTTGCATTTGGCATGTCTCTCCACAGTGTCCTTAAAATATTTAGTCAGAGTGCCAGATCTCATAGATAAAATAAGTCTAGAGGCAGACTGTGAGTTGTGGAACGTCTTTGTATTGTCCATTGATGTTTGATATACCAGAAATATAGGGATTTCTTTACAATATGTGAGGAGCTCTTCCAAGCTGCATCCATTTGTCTCAGTAGCCAACCAAGCCCCCTCCTCTCTATCACTTTTGTCCTACATACTAGACTTACATTCTGTAAGAGGAATCATCATTCACATTTACTTCTATACTGTATATGCTTCTTTCTGCATTATACCCTATTTTCATATTTGAAAGCCCACCAAAAGAATCAAATAATAAAAAAATAAAAAAAAAACATTTAATGTGAGCAAGTTTTTTACATTTTAACTTTTACTTTCATACGCCTTCTAACCTTGGTAGTTGCGTTGCTGGACTGGTAAATGGAGAATTCCTGTTAGTTATTGACAAAGATTCTAACTTGCTTGTTTGTTCTTCAACTGTGGGGAAAAAGAGCAATTCATTCAGATTCTTAATCTAGAGTGTTATTTTCAACAGATTATATTATAATCCACACAGGGCCGGTGCAAGGATTTTTGCCGCCCTAGGCAAAAGAAAGATTTGCCCCCCCCCCCCACCGGAACATCGCAATGCCCCACCCATATGAACTAATGCCAGTGCTGCACACAGTGTGTGTTTACATTAAAAAGCCTGCAGGGACAAACTATAGACACCAGAACAACTTTATTAAGCTGCAGTGGTTCTGGGGACTATAGTGTCCATTTATTGTGAGGTAAATTAGAGATTAGTGTCACTAATAATATACTAGATTGCTTACTTACAATCAGATGAGGATGGTGATCTCTGATCTGGCTGCAGTCTGGCTCCACTGGTCTGGTGTAGAACAGGATCTCTGGAGGCTGTTTGCAACTGTGGTCACAAAATTCAATGTTCTGGGAGAACGGGAAGCAGCTCCATTTTTGGGGGCCTCTTACATAGCTCAAGGTCTGGGCCCCAGGGCCTGACGGTGAGTATGCCCATAAAGCCCACCCATAAGGCCACCTACATGTTCCACCCATGAACTCACAGGGAGTAGAGTGTGTAGGGGATGTGTTATGTGTTACTGTAGAGGATCTAATGTGTGTGCTTACGGAATGTAGTGTATAGGGATACCAGTTTGTGTAGGTGATGCAGTGTGTTTGTGTGTAAGGGATAGAAAGCAGTGAGTGTTTGTGTATAAGGGATGTATTGTGTGTAAGGGATGCATTGTGTGAATCTGTGTTTGTATGCATAAGGGAAGCAAAGTGTGTTTCTGTGTATGTAAGGAATGCAGTGTGTGTGTCTGTAAGGGGTGTGTTGAGTGTGTGTAAGAGATGCATTGTGTTTCTGTGTGTGTGTGTAAGAGAAACAGTGTGTGTTTGCATGTGTGTGTAAGGGATGCATTGTGTGTGTTCTGTGTATATGTGCAAAGGATGCATTGTCTTTATGTGTAAGGGTTGCAGTGTGTGTTTCTCTGTGTGTAAGGGAAGCATGTTGTGTTTCTGTGTGTATAGGGATGCATTGTGTGTGTGTGTGTGTGTGTGTGTGCCCGTGGTGTGAAAGAGCTCCCTGTCCCCCTGTCCTATAGAGCTCTCCCTTCCATTCCTTAGAGATCTCCACTGCCCCTTAGTGGTCTCTCCTCTCCCCCCACCTCCCTTAGTGGTCTCCTTTTCTCCCCAACTTTCCATTAGTGGTCTCTCCTCTCCCCCCACCCTCCCCTAGTGGTCTATCCTCCACCCCCTCCCTTAGCGGTCTCTCCACTGCCCCCTCCCTCCTTTAGTGGTCTCTCCCTCCCCTACTTTCTCATCTCCCACCCCTCGTGTTCTCCTCTTCTTCTCCCCCCGTGTGTTCCTCTTATTCCCCCCCTCCCTGTGTTCTCCGCTTCTTCTCTCCCCTGTAATCTTGTCTTCTTCTCCCCTCCCCCCGTAATCTTCTCC